AAACCCCATGGTTAGAGCATTTGGTCGAATTCAAACTCAAAATTTGGAAATGAAGGTGGCGCAGTCGTTAAAATCCCATCTGACTCACTAATGTTCTTTGAGAAATAAAATCTGCCATTCTTACCCAGTCTTGCCTAGATGTGACTCCAGACACACAACAATGTGGTTGACTCTGAAACAGCCCAGCAAGCCACTCAGGGGAAGCAAGTGCTGGCCTTGCTAGTGACACCCATGGCCCATGAAGGAGTAAATGAAATAATACAAAGCAACAAAATTCTATTATCATTGATTCTTCTTTCTCTCAGAAATCCATAATTCAATGTAACTTTCCTTTCAAGCTAGGGTCCCACTTTATTGCTAATTCCTCCTCTTCCCCCAAGTTGCATCCTTCTAGCACCTTTCACAAACTCAAGACCTTCCCAAGACACTTCACAATCAACATGATGCTTTAGTGACATGACCTGCTGCAACCTGTTGGGCAGCATGGTGGCTCAGTGGCTAACACTCTGTCTGACTGCGCCAGGGACCCAGGTTTGATTCCACCTTTAGAAACAGTCTGTGTGGAGTTTGCACATTCTCTCTGTGTCTGTGTGGGTTTCCCACAGTCCAAAGATGTGCAGGTTAGGTGCACTGGCCATGCTAAATTGTCCACAGTGTCCGGGGTTGTGCAGGCTCAAAGATTTAGCCATGGGAAATGCAGCCTTACAGGGATATGTAGAGTGGGCTGGGGCTGGGTCTGAATGGGATGCTCTTTGGAGGGTTACTGTGGACTGGATGGGCCAAATGGCCTGCAGGGATTCTAGAAGCATTGCCAAATTGTGCACAACCTTCACAAGCAGCAGCCCAGTAACATGCTATCTTAAGTGATGGTGATGGTGAGGTAAACACCAGTCCACACATTAAGGAAACCTCTTGCTCGAAATAGCAGGCACACAGTCTTTTATCTCCATCCACAAAGCCTGACAAGGTCTCACTTTAATGTCTCATCCAAAAGACAGAAACCATGACAGTGTTGCACTCCATCAGTAGTATACAAAGAATATTGTTCTTGGAATAGATTTTTCTGGCCAAATTTTTGGTGTGTGACTTGAACCTAAAGCTCTTTGAAATCAGAGATTACAGTGCTACAACTGATACTGGGTATTGAGTCCTGTAGTGGCACAGGTTCCAGGATTTAGTTTTAATCCCTACAGTGTGGAAGCAGGCGATTTGGCCCATTGAGTCTACGCTGACCCACTGAAGAGTATCCCACCAAGACCTACCCTTACTGTATCCCTGCATTTCCCATGGCTAACCCACCTAGCCTGCACATCCCTGGACACTATGGACAATTTAGCATCGCCGATCCAACCTAACCTGCACATCTCTGGGAGGAAACCAGAGCACCTGGAGGAAAACCACACAGAAATGGGAAGAACATGCAAACTCCACACAGTCGCCCGAGGGTGGAGTCAAACCCAGATCCCTGGCGCTGTTAGGCAGCAGTGCTAACCAGAGACACCGTGCTGCTCTGGTTCTCTTCCAACACTTTTGGTTTGCTTGGCCATTTCAGAGGGCACTTAAAAGTCAACGACATTGCTTTGGGCCTGGAGTCACATGGAAGCCAAGCCAGGCAAGGATCTCCTGAACCAGGCGGGTTTTGATGCAAGTTGATGACAGTTGGTCACCCATCACTGAAACTAGCTTTCAATTTGAGAATTATTAATTAAATCTAAACTGCACTTGATGCCATAACAGGAGCTGAAGCCAGGAGCTTTAAGCTGGAGCCTCGGGACTGAGAGTCAGCTTGGGCTGGCACTAACTGATGGTTATATAGCAATGGTTGATTAGCTGACACATGGTCAACCAAAGGGAAACCACTGGCTCCCCAAGCTCCTGGGTAATTCAAAAAAGACCCAATGCTTGAACATTATTCCCATAGTCTGCAGAGAACAGATCCCTCTGTTAAGAACGTATCAACTAACAACATAAACCAGCAATGGTACAGCTTCGATTATCTTAAATTGATCGTGAGGTAGGTAGAACACATCCCACAGAATGTCAACTGCACCAAATTAATGTGTTTTGCTTTGCATTTGTTTGTGGGACGTGGATGTCACTTGCTGGGCCAACATTTATTATCCATCCCTTAACTGCCCTCAAGAAGCTGCTGGTGCTGAGCTGCCTTCTTGAACTGCTGAAATCCTTAGGGTGTAGGCACACCCACAGTGCTGTCAGGAACGATACCCAAGTAGAGCACACGCACAGCACTGTCAGGAATAATATAAGTACTTTCAGTAACTATATTCTGCACAGTAAGATCCAACAAATCACAATGCGGTGATTGGCAAGTGTCTTTGGATGATACTGGTTGTTCATCAGGAAGCTTCAGTACAGTGTGATCCACACAAACAGACTCAATATAATGCCACATCCAAAAGCTGGCTGCTCTAACAGTGCAGCACTCCCTCAGTACCAAAGTGGAACATCAACTGAGATTGAACTCAATTCCCAGATACTGGGCTCAAACCCACAAACTTCCAGTTTAAAAAGGTGACAATGTTGTTCCTCAACTCAAGTCGGCACCTGATTAGCAGCTGCATCTAGGACATGGCTCCTTTGTACTGTTGTTTCATAGAATCCCGACAGTTTGGAGCAGGCCATTTGGCCCATCGAGTCCACACCATCCCTCGAAACAGCACACCACCCAGATCTATCCCACTACCCTATCCCTGTAACCCTGTGTTTCCCATGGCCAATCCACCTAACCCGCACATCCCTGGACACTTTGGGACAATTTAGCATGGTCAATCCACCCTAACCTGCACATCTTTGGACTGTGGGAGGAAACCAGAGCACACAGACACAGGGAGAATGTGCAAACTCCGCACAGACAGTTGCCCAAGGCTGGAAGCCAACATAGGTCTCTGGAGCTGTGAGGCAGCAGTGCTAACCACTAAACCACACAGCTGCCCAAGGTTCCCCCCAAGCCCATCTGGGATGCCTCAGTCCAGCCCCACAGTCTAGACATGGCCTAGTCCTGAATGGAAAACAGGCAAGATACAAGGCATAGCATGGGTTAAAAATTAGCAGCCACGGACCAAGAAAGCACAGAGCCCTCTGAGGTAGAACGGCAGGGAGGGGATCCAGTGGGACCGTAGCTTCTCACTGATCGAGTGAGAAAGCATTTTTGCCTTTGACATACTGGCCTTCCTCTTTACTTGAAACACAGGAACATCACCAACCTTTCCACATCATACCTTGAGATTTTTACTCAACCTCCGCAGCTTGGGTTAATTCAGTCAGTGATTTCGGGGGTTGGGGTGGGGGGGTGGTGGGCAGCGACAGACTGTGCCCAGTTCTGGACACTATACTTCGAAAAGGATGTGAGGACATTAGAGACGATGCAGAAAAGATTCACGAGAACGACACTAGAGGATGTGAGACTTCAGTTACGTAGATAAATTGGAGAAGTTGGAGCTGTTCTCTTTGGAGAAGAAAAAAATGGAAAGGACATTTGATAGAGGTATTCAAAATCATGAAGGGTCTGGGCAGATTAAATAAAGAGAAACTGCTCCCATTGGTACAAGGATCGAGTTTCAGAGAAAACAGATATAGACATTAGCAAAAGAAGTGAAGCTAACATGAGGAGATAATTTTTATGCAGCAAGTTGTTAACATCTGGAATGTGCTGCCTGAGAGTATGGAGGACGCAGGTTCAACTGTGGCTTTCAAAAGAAAACTAGATCGTTATTGGAAAAGGAAAGATTTCCAGGGCCACAGGGAAAAGGTTTGGGAGCAGGACTAGGCTTGCTTGCAGCGCGCTAGCATAGACACGACAGGCCAAATGGCGTCGTTCTGCATTACATTTCTCCAATTCACATGTTGCAGGGTCAACTTTAGCTCATGTGATTCCTGATTCAAGAAGCAAAGCCAATGTTGTGGGGTCATGGGTTCAAATCCCATCAAGGCAGATGTTGAAATTTGAATTCAATAATAAAAAATCTGGAATAAAAGGTTAGCCTAATGATGACTGTGTTAGCACTGTTATTAAAACCCATGTGGTTCATTACTGTCCTTTAGGGAAAGGAAGCTGCCATCATTAGCCAGGCTGGCTTACATGTGACTCCAGACTCATAGCAATGTTGTTGACACTTTTTTACCCTCATATCTGGAAGTGATATCATACAAAACATCACCTGTGGCAATTTCCACCTATTAAGCAGCAAATACCAGCCTTTTTTTTTATTAATTTGTCCCTACTATCCAGAAGTGCTCTAACACACAACCGAATGGTATATTGTCCCCCCACCACAAATCGCCCATGGTATTTTTCATCTATTACTCACCAGCCGTGAATCAATCGTGTCTTTCGATTGACTAATTTATATACAAAGTCTGTTAAGGGCAATGCAGACCAAAAGGTGAGGGAGAGATAGGAGGGGGATAAATCAAAACGGACTTGAAAGAGGTCGAGACTCTTAACTACCTCCTAGAGAATTAGGGATGGGCAAAAAATGTTGGCCCAGCCAGCGACACCCACATCCCATGAACAAATTTTTAAAAAGTCTACAGAATTGCAGCCAACGATAAATAAAGAGATATGACAGCAGGGTGGGGAAACACAATAGGGTCTACTTGCCTCTACGCAGTGTAACTGCGTAAAGTTCTGATGAAGGGTCACTTGACCCGAAACGTTAACTCTGATTTCTTTCCACAGATGCTGCCAGACCTGCTGAACTTTTCCAGTGATTTCTGTTTCTGATTTACAGCATCCGCAGTTCTTTCGGTTTTTATTTAATGTTTGACAAGGTTGACTGAGGGCCTTGGTTCCAGATTGTAACCCTAATGTAAACAAAGTTTAAATGATTTGAACCCTCTGGGTGTTTAGAAGGGATTCCAGTAACTGTTTTCCTGACAGAATGAGGAACACCAACACGTGAAAATATTCCTCGTCTTATTATTCAAAGGAAAGAATGTTAATTAACAATCACGTTTCACAAGGTGGTTTGACTACTTACTGTACAAAAAAAAGTCTTTTAATTTGGACTTCAAGTCACAAGTTCAGTCACTTTAACCTTTGAGGTTTCTCGTCAACATTAGCAAAGAGGTCAGCTGACAACAGCATCATCAAAACACATCTTTCATTGGTTAAATAACCTGCGGCTCTGATGGTCTTAAAGGGGCCATGCTCCGTTACGATTTATTTCCTATGACCACTGGCTCTGACAATTTCTGCAAGCTCAGTTCATGGGCTAGTTCCTCAGCGTAAACTTTAAACAGCGGCACAGGATCCTGAAATACAATTTTGAGAAATGTGTTAAGACTGCCCGGTATGAAGTTCACTGCCCAAGATCCCAGTCATTTAGCCTTTGTTATTTTCCCCCAATCAGCAAGTTGCAGAGATCTGAACATTAGAAGGGGGGATATCAGCTTTTCTTCATTCATTCCTTCCTGGGATACGGGCATCACTGGCGAGGTCATGTTTTGTTGACCATTCCTGAATGCCTTTGAGGTGGTGGTCATAAGCCACCATCCTGAACCACTGCCGTCCGTGTGCTGTAGGTATACCCAAAGTGCTGTTAGGGAGAATGTTCAAGAATTTTGGCCCAAGGGCAGTGGAAGGACAACTGTATATTTACAGGACCTGAAGTGGACTAGCAATAGAAATACTGTGGCTATGAAATCAGGTCAGATGCTAGGAGCTCTTCAGAGAGTAACTCACCTCCTGACTCCTCAAAGCCTGTCCACCAACGGTGTAACGGAATACTCCCCACTTGCTCAATGAGCACAGCTCCAATAACACTCAAGAATCTCAACAGTATTCAGGTCAAAGCGACCTGTTTGATTGGTATCATATCCACAAACATTCACTCCCTCCATCACTGATGCTCAGTAGCTGCAGCAGCTCACCAAGGCTTCCAAGTTCGTAACCACTTCCATCTTGAGGGACAAGGGCAGCAGATACATGGGAACACCAACCCCTGTGAGAAACCCTGCAAACCACTCACCACCCTGTTTTGGAGTAATCCATAGAATAGATCCATAGAATTCCTACAGCGTGGAAACAATGTGGCCTTTGGCCCAACCAGTCCACATCGACCCTCACAGCATCCCACCCAGACCCAATCCCCAAACCCACCTAATCTACACATCCCCGGGCACTATGGGGCAATTTAGCATGACCAATCCACCCTAAACTGCACATCTTTGGACTGTGGGAGGAAACCGGAGCACCCGGAGGAAACCCACACAGACACGGGGAGAATGTGCAAACTCCACACAGACAGTCACCCAAGGGGGAATCGAACCCAGGCCCCCAGAATGTTATCTAGGTCTCTGGATTAACAGTCCAGCAATAATACCACTCGGCTATTGCCTCCCCTGGAGGGGCGGCACGGTGGCTCAGTGGTTAGTACTGCTGCCTCACAGCGCCAGGGGCCTGGGTTCGATTCTGCCACAGCAGAATGTGGAATTTGAATTCAATAAAATATCGGGAATTAAGAATCTAACGATGTCCATGAATCCATTGTCAATTGTCGGAAAAACCCACCTGGTTCATTACTGGGTCGGTGTTGGATGAGCTCAAGAGAGGTTTTTAATATCACCATTCTTGCAGTGTGGCTGAACCAAAATCTTGGAACTCGTTCTGTGTCCATTTTGGGTCTACCGACATCAAATGGGCTGCATTGGTTCAAGAAGACAGCTCACCACCACTTTCTCAAGGACAACTTTGGATAGGGAATAAATGCTGACCAAGTCAGCATCACCCATACCCTTTAAGTGAATTAAAACAAAAAGTTAGGATGGGATACCTTGGAGAAGAACTTCCAGGTGGTGGTGTGCCATTGCTGCCCTTGCTCTTCTAAGCGGTTAAGTTCTGGGTTTGGAAGGGGCTGTCAAAGGAGCCTTACCAAACTAACGCAGTGCACTATGTAGGTAGTACACATCACTACCAGTGTTTCAGTTGGGGAGGAATGAAAGCTTAAGGTGGCGAACAGGGTGCCAGTCAAGCAACCTACTTTCTACTGGGTGGTGTTTTTTTTTATATAAAAGACGATCATGTTCCCTTTTCATAGATTGATGACGCACACAAGGAGGTCATTCTGCCCAGTGTACCTCTGCCAGCCTCATGAACTAGCTATTAAATTACAGTAAAATCTGTGCTATCCAGCACTGAGGTTGGATGTGCTAGTAAATCAAATATGCCAGTTAATTTATTGCAGTTCTCAGGTAATAGTGGGAATTGAATGTAAATGTCTTGCTGTAAACCATAACTTGCAGACGCTGGGAGCCTCTCCAACTTTGATTTTTATCACAGAGAATACCGAGGGAAATGTATTTTAGCCAGTCCTTTTACAATTATTACAGTCATAACTGCTATTTTATATAGTACAGTGATGTCCGGGAGAGGGGGATATCAGAGGTTACAGTTGGCAGGATGCTAGATAATCAAATTTTATGGTAGACCCCACTCAACCACTCTAGCTCCACTGCCCACTTTAAATACAAGCGCAACCTACTGTCTACATTTTTTTTTTAGAAACAGGAGGCTGTGGTTGACACAGGTTTAGTTGGAATTTTAACTTACCTTCTTCTCCAGCAGCATCTGTTTCTGCACAGCTTCCTCAAGGCTCAGACCAACCCACTCTGCTTCCTCTTCAGGAATTACAAATGCCTGCAACACACAAAGAATTACACAGGAACAGGAGTAGGCCATTCAGCCCCTTGAGCCTGTTCCACCATTCAATGAGATCATGGCTGACCTGTGGCCCAACTCCATGTATCTGCCTTTAGCCCGTATCCCTTAATATCTTTGCTTAACCAAAAAACTGTCCATCTCAGATTTAAAATTAACGAATGTTCTGGCTTCAACTGCCATATGTGGAAGAGAATTCCCAAATTCTACCACCCTGAACAGTCTGGCTCAATTTCTAGACCATACCCACTAGTTCTACCAGGCAGCACAGTGTTTAGCACTGCTGCCTCACAATGCCAGGGACCCAGGTTCGAATCCAACCTTCGGTGACTGTGTGGAGTTTGAACATTCTCCCCGTGTCTGTGTGGGTTTCCTCTGGGTGCTCCGGTTTCCTCCCACAGTCGCAAGATGTGCAGGTTAGATAGATTGGCAGTGGGAAATTGCCCGTAGTGTGCAGGCTGGGTAGGTTAACTATAGTAAATGTGGGATTACAGGGATAGAGTGGGATGCTCCTCGGAGGGTCAGTCCAGACTTGATGGGCTGAATGGCCTCTACCTGCACTTAGAGATTCTATAATTCTTGAATCTTTAAACACTGGAAATAGTTTATCTCGATCTACCATCGTTTCCAGTTAACATCTTGAAGAGTTCAACCAGGTCACCACCTAAACTTCTCAATTCTGGAGAAAATAGGCTGACTTTCTCCTTGTAAATTAACCCCTAAAGTCCAGGTGTCATTCTCGTAAACTTATATTTTACTTCTTCCAAGGCCAAAATATCCTTTCTACGTTGTACAGCCCAATCTGCTCACAGTACTCCAAGTGGGTCTAACCAGGTTCGTATAACTTCAGCAAAACTTCCACACCCTTGTATCTTCTAGATATAAGGGCTCGTATTCTATAAGTTTTCTTGATTATTTTCTGCTTGTGGTATTTTAAATTTAATTCTACCTCAGTTTAATCTTGCAGAACAATATATCACAGAGGACCATTCAGCCCCTTGAGCCCATGCCAGCTCTTTGAAAGATCCGGCACTAGCCCCACATTTCTTGATATCTTTAACATCAAGAAATCTATCATAGAATCAGAGTACAGAAGGGGACTTAGGCACATCAACACCGACACTAAATATACACTAGTCCCATTTCCAACACCTGGCTCATAGCCTTGACATTTCAAGTGCTCATCCAAGTACTTTTTAAAGGTTTTGATGTTACTGCCTCAACTACCCTCCCAGACAGTGCATTCCAAACATCCACCGCCTTCTGTATGATTTTATACACCTCAATCTCAGCCTCTGTTCTAAACTTATCCGAGCTTATCCAGCCTCTCTTCCTAACTAAACTGTGCCATCGCACACAACATTCTGGTGAATCTCCTTTTCACCCCCTCCAGTGCAATCATAGCTTTCCTATAGTGTGGTGACCAGAACTGCACACAGTACTGTAGCTGTGGCCTAACCAAAGTCCTGTAGAGTTCCAATTGACGTCCCTGATGTTACAATGTCCCCCAACAGAGGAAACCTCCTGCATTTACCCTGTAAGAAATTTGTAAGCTTCAATGGCAGCCCCTCTCATTCTCATAAATTCTACAGAGCACAAGCCTGGTCTCCTCAGTCTCATAGCCTTTGACATTTCAAGTGCTCATCCAAGTACTTTTTAAAGGTTTTGATGTTACTGCCTCAATTACCCTCCCAGACAGTGCATTCCAAACATCCACCGCCCTCTGTATGATGTGCCATCATCCTAGGCTGAACATTGGTGGCATCTGTCTAAGCCTGGGCTATCGTTCTTCGCTAAGGGAGCAAATCTGAATGCAATACTCCAGGCTCCTCCAATTAGCACTAACCCTGCAACTCCTTCCCCATGGCCCTATATATTTCTCCTTGCCAAACCCCTTTTAAAAGTTGCTCCTGAACCTGCTTCCACTGGCCTTTCTTACAACAAATTTTAAATCACTATAACTCTGAGTAAAATAAGAGCTCTTGCCTGCTCTCTGGTTCTGTTGCTGCTGGTCTTAAATCTGTACCCATCTCATTAGTGACCCTGCTACGACTGGAAACAGTTTCTCCTTATTTGCTCTGCCTAAACCCCTCGTCATTTTGAACTTTGCTATTAAATTTTCCTTCAATCTTCTTCAGTGGTTCATGGAGCTGGCTGCAGATCAGCCTTGATCTCAGATTTTGTTGGAACAAGCCTGATAGGACTATGCTCAAACGCCTCTCATCGTTGATCTCCTGCCTTCAAACTTCACTGCATAGAGGAGAATAACCCTGGCATGTCTAACCTTGCCATGTGATGGGACTCCCTCACCTTGCAACAAATTTAAAGCATCCCTTCATTTAAAATTAGGTGTGGGACTGAGGGCTGCAAGTGGAACCTGGGGATATATGTGGCACAGTGGTAATGTCCCTACCTCTGGGCCAGAAGGCACCCACCTGCTCCCAGGTGTATTATAATGTGTCTGTACAGGTTCATAAAAAATATCTGTGTATGCACAAATCATTGAAGTTGGCAGAATAGGTTGAGAAAAGGATTAGAAAAGCACTTAGGATACTGGGCTTTAAAAATCAACTACTTAGAGTACATTAGTGAGGAAGTTGAGAGACTGTTTTGGCCTTAACTGGGGCACTGGGTCCCACACTTTAGGAAGGGTGTGAAGGCACAGCGGAAAGTGTGGACGAGATTCAGGGTAAGGTACTTTTAAAGGGGAGGTGATGGCCTAGTGGTATTATCGCTGGACTGGTAATATTCTGGGGACCTGGGTTCGAATCCCACTACGACAAATGGTGGAATTTGAATTCAATAAAATATCTGGAATTAAGAATCTAATGATGACCATGAATCTATTGTTGATTGTTGGAAAAACACATCTGGTTCACTACCGTCCTTTAGGGAAGGAAACTGCCATCCTTACCTGGTCTGGTCTACATGTGACTCCAGACCCACAGCAATGTGGTTGACTCTGAACTGCCCTCTGGGCAATTAGGGATGGGCAATAAATGCTGCCTGGTGAAAGACACCCTCATCCCGTTACGAATAAAGAAAAGAAAAAAAACTGTAGGTGTGAAGGTAGGTTGGAGAGATTGCAGCAAAAGGAGAAGATTGACAGGAGATTTCATGGAGATGTGCCAAAACCACGAAGGGCCAGGACAGAACAGATGGGGAGAAGCTGTTCCCGCTGGGGAAAGGATCCGAGAACTAGAGGGCACTGAGAGAAAGGAGCAGAGGAGACACTGAGGAGAAGGATTTTTAAGTAATCAGTGGTGTGGGTCTGAAATACTACGCTGGAGTGGCATTGTGCCATTCAGAAAGGAAGGAGTGGAGAAAGTAGGACAGCTCTCATACAGGGTCAGCAAGATGAAGGACGTCTCCATTTGGCCCACTGTATGTTGCAACCTCGAATCTTTGTAAAGGGAGAATGGGGAAGATGGTGCTCTCTTGCTAAAGTCACCGGACTGGTAATCCAGAGGCCAGACTAATGGACAAGGCTTCAAATCCCACCAAGGCAGCTGGTGGAATTTAAACTCAATTCATAAATCTGGAGTTGAAATCTGATTTCTGACGACCGTCATCAATGGTAATTAAAATAAAACACCCATCTGGTTCACTAACACCCTTGAAGGTAGTAACTTTCATGTTACTCCAGACTCTCAGCAACATGGCTGACTCTTAAATCCCCTCTGAAATGGCCAAGCAAGTCACTCAGTTCAAAGGGCAAATCAGTAATGGGCTTGTCCCAAAAGTGGGTCTTGCCCAGCGACAACCACGTCCCACGAGAAATACAGTGCCTCTATATTCCAAGGCCTGCACCATACCTTGTATTTGTTATAGATGAGCTCCCGTTTCTCTGCATCGTCGGGGTAAAGCTCTGTGTCCTTGCGAGCGAGTCTCAGGAGCATTACCCTTTTTAGATCCATCCCCAGCTTTGAATTCAGGTCGACCTTGGGCGTCTGGAAAATGATTCGTATCAAAATAAAACAAATAAATGGCTGGTCCGCTGAGAGGTCAATTTCCCAGGACAGAGTCAGAGTCATACAGCATTGAAACAGGCCCTCGGCCCAACTCGTCCACACCGAACAGGTCTCCCCAAACTAAACTAGCTATTTTGCCTGTGGCCCATATCCCTTTAAACCTTCTCTATTCACATACCTGTCCAAATATCTTTTAAAATGTTGTAACTGTACCTGCCTCTACCACTTGCTCTGGCACTCATTCCATTTACGCACCATCCTCTGCGAACCTCAAGTAATAGGCAAATGATTGAAAATTTAATGAACTCATTCTCACAACATCTCATCTCTGAACTTCATAATGAAATGCAGATTCCAGGGCAGCTTACACTTCTAATCTGTAAATTAAAGCAACCTACATTGTGTAACGTACTTTAATTATTTGCATACTGACAGAATTATTTGGTGCAATCCTTTTGTGTTACATTTTATTTTTTATTTCAATGATTGTCCCTAACAATGTTATAAATCATGATTATTAGTTTTATTTAGTTCATAAGTCCGGAGTAGGTGTTAATAACAGAATGAAGGTCAGTTCTGTCTGAAAGTAAAAACACAACGCCAGCAAAACCCACACTTTCCAGTCGCTTGTCATTTCAATTCATCATTTTGTTCTTACACTCTCACTTCTATCTTTGGCCTGCTGCAGAGCCTCAGTGAAGCACAATGCAGGCTCAAGCAACAGCACCACATCTTCCAATTAGCCACTTTACAGCTTTCTAGGCTCAAAGTTGAGTTCAACAACTTGTTCCATTTTGATAGCATTTCCTCCCCCCCACTCACCCGCAGGGTCTGTATCTTGTTTTCCCTTTCAGTCGGAGCCAACGTTTATTCTGCTATTAACACTTATTCTGGATGCTTTGTCTTTTCTCTACAACGATTACCACTTCCAAGAGACTTTGGCTATTTTCAGCCAACATAAAAAAACATGTAATGGAGGGCAAGTTACCTCGCCTTTTCACCCCAGCTGAGTCAGGTTAAAAATCAGGGGTCTTGGTGCGCCCATCTCTTTATATAAGTAAGGAGTACGCCATTCGACCCCTTGAGCCTGTGGTGCCAGCTGACTAGCTCTTCTGGGAGGACTACCATTAATAAAGGAAACACTGGGGCATCCAGATCCCGCTCTCTTCAGCGGAGAAGGTCGAGAGGAGATTTGATAACAGTAACCAAAGTCACGAAGGGTGTGAACCCAGGAGAAACTGTTCCCATTGGTGGGAGGAGGATCATGAAACAGACACTACATGTCTCAGCTGATTGGTAAAGCCAATACTGTGTACAATTCTGGTCCCCCTTCTACGGGAAGGATGTTGTTAAACTTGAGAGGGTGCAGAAAAGGTTTATAACGATGTTGCCAGGACTGGAGGGTTTGGCTACAGGGAGAGGCTGAATAGGCTGGGGTTTCTTTCACTGGATGACATCAGGGGCTGAGGGGTGCTTTTATAGAGATTTATAAAATCATGAAGGGCATGGATAGGGTGAGTAGTCAAGGCCTTTTCCCCAGGTTAGGGGAGTCCAAAACTAGAGGGCATAGGTTTAAGGTGAGAGGGGAAAGATTTAAAAGGGACCTAAAGGGCAGAGGGTGGTACATGTATGGAATGAGCTGCCAGAGGGAGTGGTGGAGGCTGGTACAACTACAACATTTAAAAGGCATCTGGATGGGTTCATGAATAGGAAGGGTTTAGAGGGATATGGGCCAAATGCTGGTAAGTGGGACTATGTCAGGTTGGGATGACTGGTTAGCGCTGACAAGTTGGACCGAATGATCGGTTTCCGTGTTGTATGACTTTATGACTCTGTCTTTTCTTCTCTTAATCCTTTGGTATTTAATCTTCCCCACCCTCTACGCTATCCCTGACCTTCCCTTTTGCTCCACATGACTCACCTCCATTTTCCGAACAGCATAAACCTCAACAGATTTCCATTTCTCTTCAGTTCTGAACAGTCATAACTGACTCAAAACTTGAACTCTGTTTCTCGCTCTATAAATGCTGCCAGACCTGCTGAGATTCTCCAACAGTTTGTTTCCATTTCTGAACTCCAGCATCCACCAGACTTTGATTTCAGGATAGTTGGAGAGAGACTAAGTGAGCAGATATGCCCAGGCGCAGAAACGTTTTACAATTTTGTTCCATAAGATAGAGGGTGTTGCATTTCGGCAGAGAAGCAAAGGCAGGTTTACACAGTCAATGGCAGGGTCCTGGGGACTGTTGTCGAACAGAGACACCTACGGGTTCAGGTACATAGTTCCTTGAAAGTTGCATCACAGGTAGACAAGGTAGTGAAGAAAGCATCTGGCATACTTGCCTTCATCGCTCAGTCCCTTGAGTATGCGAGTTGTGACATTATGTTGCAGTTATATAGGACACTGTCAGTGAGGCCACGTTTGGCGTACTGTGTACAGTTCTGAACACTCTGCTATAGGAAGGACATTATTAAATTGGGAGGGGTGCAGAAACGATTTACAAGAATGTCACCGGGACTGGAGGGTTTGAGTTAAAAGGAGAAGCTGCGTAGGCTCGCTCTTTTCTCCTCGCAGTGTAGGAAGTTCGGGGTGACCTTATGGAGGGTTATAAAACCATGAGGGGCATTGATAAGGTGAATAGCAAAGGTCTTTTCCCTAAAGTAGAGGAGTTCAAATCTAGAGGGCATAACTTTTTAGGGTGAGATGAGAAAAATTTAAACGGGACCTGAGGGGCAACTTTTTCCCCCAGAAAGTGGTTCGTATGTCGAATGAACTGCCAGAGGAAGTGGTAGATGCAGGAGCAGTTACAACATTTAAAAGACATTTGGACAGGTACATGAATAGGAAAAGTTTAGAGGGATTTGGGCCAAATGCAGCCAAATGGCATGGATGTGTTGGACCAAAGGGCCGGTTTCCGTGCTGTATGACTCCATGACTGTATAAGACCATGAGGTATAGGAACAGAAGTAGGTTGTTTGGCTCCTCAATCCTATCACACCACCCAATAGGATCATGGCTAATCCAACATTCCTTGTGTCCACTTTCCTGCCCTCCCGTAATCCTTGCTTGCCCTACTGATCAAGGATCTATACATCCCAATCTTAAATACACACACGGATCCTGCCCCCACAGCTCTCTGTGACAAGGAGTCTCAAAGACTCACAACCCTCAGAGAAGAAAGTCCTGTTCATTTCAGTCTTAAATTGGCACCCCTTTATTCTGAGACAATATCCTCCGGTCCTAGACTCTCCCACGAGGCAGAAACATCCTCTCAGCATTTACCCTGTCAAGCCACTTAAAAATTCTATCTTGAGGTTGGTTGGCTCGCCGATCTGGTTTGTTGTTCTGCAGACGTTTCGTTACCATGCTGGGTAACATCGTCAGTGCAGCCTCCGATGAAGCGTCGGTGTGTTTTCCCGCCTGGTTTTTAAACTCTGGAGTCCGTTGAGCTGGATTGCCTCACTTCTGGTTTTCCTTCGTAGTGGAGTGTATATGGGGTTGAGTTCTATGTGTTTATACACATAGGGAAACCGGAAGTGAGGCAATCCAGCTCAACGAACTCCAGAGTTTAAAAACCAGGCGGGAAAACACACCGTCGCTTTATCGGAGGCTGCACTGACGATGTTAGCAAGTAGGGTAACGAAACGCCTGTGGAAGAACAAACCAGCTCGGCGAGCCAACCAACCACAACCCGAGCTACAAATCTACTCCAAAACCTTAGAAAAAATTCTGTTTCAATGAGATTGCCTCTCATTTTCCTAAACTCTAGTGAGTAGAGTCCCAGTCTTTCAGCTCTTGTTCATAAGGCAATCCCAACAGGCCAGAATATGATCCCAGGTCGCTTGAAAACCCCCCCGCCACAGACAGTCCTGGATTCTCTAGAAAGTGAAGGAGAGAACAGGCACCTGACCAACAGTGAGGGAAGAACACTCGCCGGAGCAAATCAATATGAGAGGCTCTTACCTTCAAGATGTAGAAATCAAAACCGTAACAAGCGTCCACTAAGTCCAGCGTCCGCATGGTCACTTGAATAGTGAAGGTTTTGTCCAGGATTTCACTGTAAAGTTCTCGCATAAACAACTGCGGCTTCCACGTTTTCCTCAAGCGTGTGGACAGCTGCACAGGAGGCAAAAAAGTTAAAAGATAGGACGTTGTGACAGACCCAAGCTGTGATGGACCAGCCTTCAAACTGTGGATTACTCAGCCCGTGCTCCTCCGATTCTGACCCTTGGAGCATCCCCAGTGTGAAACGCTCCATAGCAGGTGGCCGTACCTTCAGCTGTTCGGGTCCCAAGCTCAACCACTTGTCCTGTCCTCCCGACCTTGAGTGTTTCCCCAGAGCATTGTAAAGTGGAAATTTGAGGCGGATTCACAGAAGGAGACGCTAGTTGACCAATGGTCGATTTAAGGAAACATCTTAAAGGAAGACAGAGGTTTAGGGATAGAATTCCAGAGTTGGGACCCAGGCAGCTGAAGGCACGCAGTTCATCAAAAGTAGCAGGATATGTTGGCACAACAATCAGCAAAGCAGAATCTTGAAGCTTCATGAATACAAGTACCGAGTATATTTCAACACATGAACGTAGATATTAGGAACAGGGGTTAGACACTCAGTCCTGCTCTGCCATTCAATAAGGTTACAGCTCCTCTGATTACCCCATATTTCCACTGGCTTGTCCCACAATCTTTCAGCTCCTTGCTTACCAAAATAAGTCTTAAAAATATTTAAAGACTCTGTTTCCACTGTCTTTTGATAAGAATTCCAAGGACTCATAATCCTCTGTCAGAAAGATTTCACCTTATCTTTGACTCCTTATTTTCAATTCGTGTCCCGTTTCTAGATTCTCCCCCAAGCGGAAACATCATCTCCCTATCCACCTCAACAATTTGTATGTTTCAAAAGGTCAAAAGCAAGGAAGCTGTACTGAACCCTTTACAAAGTTCTGATTAAACCCCAGCAAAAACACTGTGCCAGTCTAGGCACTGCACTTTACAAAGGATATGACAGTCCTTGAAGGGGTGCAGAGGAGATTTACCAAAATGGTTCTAGGGATAAAGGATTTTAGCTACAAAGTTAGTTTAGAGAAGTTGGGGTCATTCTGCTTGTAACAAAGGAGCTTAAGGGGAGATCTTACCGAGGTGTATAGGATGATGAGTTTAGATATGGGAGTCAGAGAAAAGGTGTGTCCAGGAGCTAAGGACCAGGGAGAGACAGATTTAAGGTTCTAAGAGATAAGAGGGAGGGGGATGAAGAACTCTTTCAGACAGCAACTAGTGATGAACATGAACTCACTGCCTATGAGGAGGGTGGAGGAAGAGTTGATGATTGATTTCAAAAGGGAACGGGACAGGCACTTAAGGGAAATGAACTTGCAGGGTGATAGGCGAAGAGCAGAGGAATGGGACTGACCAGATTACCCTACAGCACGCCGGCACAATGTCGATGGGCTGAACGGACCCCTTTCTGTGATCTAACAGCTCGATGAATTGGAGGAATGCAGAGGTCACCATGGATGCCAAAAGGAAGTTTCAGGGAGAATGGAGCAATTTGAACTGAAGGATGGGGCAGCACGGTGGCTCAGTGGTTAGCCGCTGCTGCCTCATGGCACCATGGACCCAGTTTCGATTCCACCATCGAACGACTGTGTGGAGTTTGCACATTCTCCCCGTGTCTGTGTGGTTTTCCTCTGGGTGCTCTGGTTTCCTCCCACAGTCCAAAGATGTGCCCGGTAGGTGGATTGGCCACGCTAAATTGCCCCATAGTGTCCAGGATGTGGAGGATAGGTGGGTATAGGTGGAAAATGAAGGGTTACAGGGATAGAGTGGCAGAATGGGTCTGGGTGGGATGCTCTGAAGGGGTGGTGTGGACACGACAGGCCAAATGGCCTGCTTCCACACTGTAGGGATTCTATGAAAATGTTATACTTAACGCAGGGATCGCGCAGGAAGGCTCAGGTCTTTGGCCAGTGTGACATTCTGAAAGTTTTTGAAATGGGGAGGGAGGGAGGGAGGGGCGGAAAAAAAATTCCAAAAGTGATCAACCTTTGGGTCCGGACCACATTGTTACTCCATACCTTGTCGTTGTTGGCGTATCTGAATCCTTGTATGTAGCCCTCTCCGCCCCACAGCCCTCTCTGAGACTCTGGAGGGTAGTAGATAGGAATCGGCACATCTTGCACGCGTTCCGGTTGCCCGGTGTGCGGGTTCCGCTTGAATTTGACCCCGTGGGGCTTAAAGTGAACCGGTGTGGGCTCCTGCTTCTCTTCGAGGGAGCAGAGATAATGGGCCGGCAACCGTGCGTAAATCCCCTGCTTCAGTCGCAGCGATTGCCAGATCTTGGGGGGGTACTTGTGGAGGGGCATCACCCCAATGTGACCTAAAGAGGGGTCAGTCCAGAGGAAACAAGGCATGTTTAGTATGCACAGCAAGATCCAACTCCTGTCCACCCCAGTGGTAGTAATGCCACCTCTGATGTGCTGGATCAATGGTCCCGTTCCAGACCCATATCCCCACTGCAGGAATGAGGGAGTGCTGCACTGTCAGAGATACTGTCTTCGTAGAAGAAACATTAAGAACCCATGTTAAGAACCACACAAAAGTAAGCAAAGAAGTTCTCCCCAGTGTCATGGCCCAATATTTAACCTGCTACTAACACCACAAACAGCTTATCTAACCAGTAACGTGATGTGCTTTTGTGGGATACAAACATACTAATCAGGAGCAAGAGCTCTTGTGGTGCAGTGGTACTGTCCCCATCTGTAAGCTAGAAGGCTTGGGTTCAAGCCCCACCTGCTCCTTCAGAACTTAAGGGTCACTGGCCTCGAAACGTTAACTGTTTTCTCTCCAAGATGCTGCCAGATTTGCGGAGTTTCTCCAGCAATTTCTGTTTTGGTTTCTTTCTTCCCAGGTCTGGGGGTACATTGGAGAAAAACGTAAATGCTGTAAGCCAGACAGGGTCAGTGTAGTAGGACCGATGGGGCAGCTCATTTGAGGAGCCAGCAATGGGCAGGAGAGGTAGAGTGGCCTGCTCCTGTCTCTACGCTGTGAGAAAAAAAAAACACATAAGGGGTTCACAGAAACAGAAATTGCCGGAAAATCTCGGGAGGTCTGGCAGCATCTATAAAGGGAAGTCAGGTTAATGTTTTGGGTCCAGCGAGCCTTCTTCAGAACATAAAAGCACCGGTCTCTCACCTCCCCCTCCCTTCAGAAACCCACACAGCTCCCTCAGATGTGCCCTCTGGCCTCTGCCTTTTCAGGTAGGGTCCTACAGGCCACTGCCACAGAAGGTGGGGTACTGCTGGCCTATTCGACTGCAGTAGGCATCGCAGACTCTGATCTCTTACCCTCTCCTCCCCTCTTTTCGCACACAACCTCCAAAGAAAAGCCCGACCCCACGAGTGACCAGCTTAGGCGTGGGGAGGGGGAGGGGTACTGGCGGCCTATTCGACTGCAGTAGGCATCACACAGCCTCTGCTCTTTCACCCTCTCCATGACCTGGGGTGGGAATTCCCAGAAAAAGGATGGGGAAGTATTTGGGAATTGGGAAGAGGCTGAGCCTTGAGAAGGAGGCGGGGGGGGGGGGGGGGGGCCTGGCCGCTTTAACTACCCCCATTACCACCACTTCCAGAGCACTACCCACCAACCCTCAAATAAAAACCCAACCCCAAGGGGAATCAGCTCCGAGGATGCTGACAGGAAAAGTACATTGAAGCCCAACGCTAGCAGAGGAGCCTCTTTCCCTCAATCCCTCGTTCACTCACTCACTCAAGCCTCAGGCTTCACCGCGCCCTCGCAGGCCCCACACAAGAAATCCCGCCTTCCATGGGACAGGCCTTCCGCAGATACCGCCACTTGATTGGATGAAATGCCTGTCAATCACGACCGCCGCTTCGCCCTTTGATTGGAAAGAATGTTTGTCAATCACGGCCGGTTTCCGTGATTTAATTGGACGGAACGGCTGTCAATCACAACGGCCGTCCCGTGTTTTGATTGGATAAAATGGCTGGCAATCACGACTGACGCCCGCCCTCATGCCCGGAGTGCAGGGACCGTCTCAGAATCGTCCGCCAGGCGGGAAGCAAAGGGAACGTCACCAAATCACACCAGCGGCCAAAAAACGCAAAACAAAATGAGAAACCAAAAAAGTCTGCCATCAGGGAAGAAAATCTTCAGGATTTGCTTCATGTGCATTTCATTCTATTGTTAGCAATTCAGAGAGGACAGAAGTTAATTCAGAAAGACTTGATAGAAGTTTATAAAATTATGAGAGGCGTGGATAGGCATGGGACCCTTTTCCCAGGTTGGAAAAGTCAAATAGAACAAAGAACAATACAGCACAGGAACAGGCCCTTCGGCCCTCCAAGCCTGTGCCGACACATCTTGGTCCTTCCATACTAAAACTGTCTTCACTTATGGGATCTGGATCCCCCTAGGGGAAATAGGTTTAAGGTGAGAGGGTAAAAGTTTAAAAGAGGTGTGTGAGGAAAGTATTTTATGCTGAGGGTGGTAGGTGCCTGGAATGTGCTGCTGGGGAGGTGGTAGAAGCAGATACGGTAACAACATTTAAGAGGCAGTTAGACAGAGACGTAACGGTCAGGGAATGGAGGCGCACAGACCATGTACAGACAGATGGGGTTAGTTTAGAATGGCATCATGGTCAGTGCAGACACGATGGGCCAAGGGGCTGGTCTCGGTACTGTACTGTTTGATATTCTATGTAATGTGCAAATTATTTTAAAGTGATGTGCAGAAAGAAGCAAATGTGAAAAAAAAGCATTTTCACGCAGTGGGTGGGCAGGATATGGGCTGCACTGCCTGGAAATGTGGTGCTGAAGGTGCAACTGAGGCAGCCAAGAGGACATTTGGGGATTTTTTGGTTGCACAAGGATACAGAGAAAAAGCAGGAGTTTGGAACTAGGTAATAATGCTTGTTTGGAGAGCTGGTGCACTCACAATGGGCAAAATGGCCTTATTCTCTGTCACAACACTTCTGTGATTCTGTAATAATTTCTTGCTGTAAAGAGAGACACATTCTTAACACTCCTCATCTTGAAGTACTGAAGAGCAATGCAAGAATGCCAAATTTCAAACGATCAGCACAATTTATAGGGAGGGGGAAAAGAGGGTCTGATAATTTTTGATGAGTCGACTCTGAATGCTTTCTCCGTGGCAACGTTGATGGGCTAACATCAATGTCAACTTGCCAAACAAATCAACGCCCTGTGCTCCTACTGTGATCACCTGACAAAATTTGGCTGTCTTGCCTTTGTCCCAATGAGTTCAAGATCAACAAAAATCTTTGACTACATTTCTCTTTCCAGCAATTTCTGTCCTTACCAAGGGACTGTTCAAATTGTTTATTGCGAATGGTATTACCATTGACCAGAAACTGAACTGGACTAGCCATATAAATACTGCAATGGTACAGAAGACCCAGGTTCAAGTTCCACCTGCTCTGAAGTTGTGTCATAACGTGACTAAACAGATTGTTTGAACTACCAATAAATCCACTGGCTACAAGAGCAGGTCAGAGGATGGGAATCCTGTAGCAAGTGCGGTGGCTCAGTGGTTAGCACTGCTACCTGACAGTGCCAGGGACCCGGGTTCGATTCCACCCTCGGGCAACTGTCTGTGTGGAGTTTGCACATTCTCCCCGTGTCTGCGTGGGTTTCCTCTGGGCGCTCCAGTTTCCTCCCACAGTCCAAAGGTGTGCAGGTTAGGGTGGATTGGCCATGCTAAATTGCCCCATCGCATCAAGGGATGTGCAGGCTGGGTGGGTGTGCCATGGGAAATGCAGGGATAGGGTAGAGAAATGGGTCTGGGTGGGATGCTCTTTGAAGGGTTGGCATGGGCTGATTGGCCTGCTTCCATACTGTTAGGATTCTATGACTCTACAAAGAGCAACAACATGCTTCATGGATGATTTAACAGAATATAATGATGTAATAATTAATGAGGAGTCAGGGTGAAGTAGCTAGAGGGAGACTGTTCCCATTGGCAGGTAGATCAAGAACCAGAAAGACACTGACTGAAGTTGTTTGGCCAATAGAAGGGAACACGAGGAACAATGTTTCCATGCAGTGAGTGATTAGGATCTGGCCTCAGTGTTTGATGGAGGCAGATTCAACTCAGGCTTTCAAAAGAGCTTTGCAGCATTATTTGAGGAGAAAGAATAATTAGACAGGAAGGGGTTTGTGCGTGGGGGGGCGGGGAGCAGTAGGGAGTCTGTGTTGTTCACTCTGTTGAAAGAAACAAACATTAAGGTTGAAAATGAGGAATTAGGAGTAGAGTTGGGAAACTGAGGTGGGGAGCTTCCTTAAATCAGAGCTTGCAGCGGTTACTCAGTGGGTAGCCTACTTGTTTCTCCGTTAGGAGGTTGTGGGTTCAGGTCGAGAAACAAAAATCTCACCTGATGACGTTCTGGGACAGTGTGTAGGCAGGATTGGAGGAGGGTAAAGCCTTTCATGTTTGTTTTGGAACTGAGGCCCTGTTGAATGTAAAGATCCTGCAGCTACTGCTTTGAAAGAGGTGTGGGGCACCTTCTCCTTGGGTCAATGCCTTGGCCAATGCTTCTTGGTCGGTCACCACCTCGAAAACAGATGGTGCGGTCATTCACCACGTTGCTTTTTGTGGGATCTTGCTGTGTACAAACTGGCTGCCACATTGCATTGCAACAGGGACTATCCTTCAAAAAGTATTTCATTGGCTGTAAAGCACTTTGGGATGTCCCTGAGGCACTACATGAATGTAAGTTCTACCAAATCCATATGGCATTTTTTATGTGGTAAGGTGTTGCACGACATACACACACCCAGACGCACATACACACACACACACCCAGACACACACACACAC